GGTGTGTTCACGTACAATGTTTACAGACGTGGTAGGAGCGTCTTTCAATCTATATTTAGTGTAACTGGCTTTTTAACTGCTGTTTATCATGGTGTGTGCATGGTGTGCATGGTGTGCAAAGAAGCTGTTGGCTTAGTTTTGCCTAGGAGAGGTCAATTGTACCCACAAATATATGTGCCAGATCAGTTCCAGCAGATCATGGCCCGTCGTGGAGGGACCATTCAACCATATAAAGTGATAAACAGTGGAAGATTTCTCTTTGTTGATACTACTGAGTGGATTATGTTTCGCTAACTCAACAATTACTGTTTTCTGTGTCTATCCGCCTCCAATTTCAATTTTCACTGACTGATGAAAAAATACAATGCGAAATATTACATGTAGATTTATGATAATATGGTGTGACTTGATCACCTTCAACACTATTGCCAACAGTCACTTGCACGTCTATTTTACAGAATTACAGTTCCACAGAGCAAATACCTTATGCATACATGTACAGAAAACCTCTGTTTAAAGGACAATATATAGGAGGTTTCCCAGTGAATCCATTGTTTAGAGTTTTCACTGTATATGCGCATATTCATGCATATTAATAGTAAATATAAACTAGTTTGTTCGTTTCTTTAATAAGGGACCGGTCATTATTTATGGCGGGGGGTGGCACCGAAGAGAAAAGGGTTGGGTAAACAAAATTTTGAGAGAGTAAAAGGTTGGGTAAATGAAAAACGAAACAACTCAAAGGTTGGGTAATAAAAATTTATTGTCATTTCCAAAGCATGACTCACTTAAATATTGAAGACTGAAAACTTCAAAGTCAACAGTCATATGTCAATACAATATGTGAATCAATCTATATCTTCATCATTTTCCGATTTGTTGGGAGACAAATTATGTCTCCAAAGAAAGTAAAAGTGCAGACAACATGAAACTTTAGACTGCAGAAAAGTCAGTAAATTTCACAAGCCGAACGTTATCAAACTATCAAACATTCACAAGCCGAACGTTATCAAACGCATCACAGAAGTGGTAAAGGACTTGTGTCATGTGTGACAACTGAATGACATCCTTTTGTAACGTTTTTGGCCAGGGGTGGGTATTTATTTTTTAAATGATACTTGAGGTTGGGTAATCAAATTTTTGATTTTTTAATGGTTGGGTAAGCAAAAATTTTGCCACGAAAAACATTTCTCTTCGGTGCCACCCCCACCATAAATAATGACCGGTCCCTAATATCAACCCATAGTATACAATGTAATGTTTTCTTCTTTCTCCGTCCTTTCCCGCGCTTTTTAATTATCCCCCATCGCTCCTGATCATTGTCCAACATTAACACAATATATACATATACATCATCCCCTATCACAAATAGATAAAATGAATACTGTTCGTAAACATTCGTGTTTACTTGTAAACTGGAATGGTCGTCAGTTTCCGTTGACTTCGTCTAGGCGGTGGTGCTGTATCTCTCTTTTCCAGACAGTATCTCTCGTCGTCGTCATATGCTCAATTACTTCTGGCCATTGGATGTCGGCGTACTGCATGCACTCCTGTTTTTCTTCGCGGTTGTCCGGTCGACTTTTCGAAGGTTTGAGATCATCCGGGTGTCGACACAGGGACTATGTTTCCCCCCTGTTCATATCAATGATCTTGAACGCTTCCGGGAGGAAGAGAGTGTCAAACTTTCTTGATTTATTGTAGTTTCTGATCAGGACATTGTCGCCGATTATGAAATGAGATTTCTTCCGGTACTTGGAGCCATTTACTTTACTTTCGTTTTCCATTTTCTTCTTCTGGTCTGCTTCTCGTGCCCTGCTCATCTCTTCGTCTGTTGCGTGTCTTCTAGGAAAGTCCAGGCGTTGTCCATGGTGGAAACTCATAGCTGCCGGTGGAAGATTGGTTGCCGGGTGAGGTGTCTTTCTGTAGTTTTTCAAGACATTTTTTAGACTTTCTTTTTCGGGAATACCGCTGTGACGCCCAGTTTTCATAGATTTGCCCAAGGGCCGCATAAAGGATTCGACTGGGTTCGAGGAGGGGTGTAGTGGTAGTGATTTCTGTTACTTGATGTCTTTGGTCTTGGCGAAGTTTTGCATCTGAATGCTGTTGAATGGTGGACCATTGTCTGAGATCTGGACATCTGGGTTGCCGTATGTTTCGTAAATTTCTGTCAAGGCTGGTATGACTAACTTTGCTGCAGGGTATCTTGACGCTAGGTCTTATACTACCACCACATGTTTAGATGATGGCATTGGTCCGAATAAATCCACTGCAACTGTTTCCCAACACTTCTCTGGTACTCGGTGTGGTTTGATCGGCTCCTTCGTCTTCTTATCCACAAATACATTGCAGTCACTGCATGACTTTACAAACTCTTCCACCTTCTTATCCATGCCGTGGAAGAAGAAATGATATCTAAGCCGTCGCTTCAACCCCTCCTGTCCAGGATGGGCTCCCTTGTGTGCAATCTGGATAGCTTTTTCTTGGAGCTTAGTCGGAAGGATGGTCCTTTCATCTTTGAGAATTATGCTATTTCCTGTAACTGTGAGTTGTGGAAGGATGGGTCGAAAACGTTGAACTTCGGCAGGTTCTGTCTTTGGGATCCAAGTCTGTCCCTTTTTGTTGAGTGCCGCTATCTTTTGCATAGTCTAGTCTTCACTTGTGGCTTGTGCAATAGCACCAATACCCACTCAGTCGATGGCTGGTGTTGTATGAAGTAGGTACAGGAGATTATTGAGGTCACCCGCTTCAGTTTGTTCCTCCCGAGGTAGTTTCTCGATTGGTTTCGCGTGTCGGGATAGGTAGTCGGATTAACTTTCCCACACTGGTAGATTACCGTAAATCTGATGTCTTGATGGCGGAACTTTATTCTTTCTGTACGAATCGAGCCTTTACGGTTGCCGTTGAAGATGGAGCATAATAGTTTATGATCAGATATAACTTGGATATCGGTTGGGGAACCAAGGGTATAGTTGCGAAATCGTCGTAGAGCAAAATCAATACCAAGGGCCTCAAGGTCGATTTGTGGATACCTCTGCTCGGCCTTGTTTGTTGTTCTAGAAGCTATGGCAATTGGTCTTGCGCTCTCTGGTGTATATCCTTGTGCCAGCATGGGTCCAAGTCCAGTAGTGTGTGCATCGGTGAAAATGAAAGTTGGCTTGCTCATGTCGAAATACTCGAGTAGGGTATTTACTGTGAATCGTTCGATTAATGC